GGGGGGGGGGTGCCCTGGGAGTGGAGGTCTCTCTCTCCAGGGGTACTAGGACTTCCTTCACACAGGGCCAAAGGAGCAGCCGGGCAGCGGGGTGAGCGCTTAGGCTTTGGCAACACACAGGTGTTTGAATATTAGCAAACTCACTCACTCACACACACTCTCTCACTCATTCAGGCACACTCATGCACACTCACTCATACACTAAGTCACACACATGCTCACTCGTTCACACACGCGCACACACACTCACACTCACTCACTCATACATTGTTACTCTCACATACTCACACATACTCATTCACTCACATCCACACACACATCCACTCACACTCAGGCACTCACACACACACTTACACTTTCACTCACTCACTCACTCTCACACACACTCACTCGCCACCGTCGAGTTGGTTCGGACTCGCGGTGACACCGGAGCACAGGGTGGACCTGCTCTGTGGGTTTCTGGTGCTGTCACTCTACTGGAGTAGAAAGCCTGGGCTCTCTCCTGAGGGTGTCAACTGCCGACCTTGACCTCAGTGATCAGCCCACACATAACCCACTCCGCCCCACTTCCCTGGTCTGCAGAGTGCGGCCAACAAGGCGGCTCCCACACGGGCTTTCTATGACAAAGACAGGAAACCCTGTGTGCGTACAAGGTGATTAGCAAGGGAGGGGCCAGAGTATCACAACCACCCTGGCAGTGACCACCGTGGCTATTATGTGGACCCCACGTGCGTCCACCGAAGTGTGCTTTGAAAAGCACAGCACAACAAGCAAGCTTAGGGACCTGCCACCTCCCTTCTTCTGAGCACTCTCCAGACACCCTCAAAGTTACCCCCCAGGCCAACACCTGTTGAAAGTGGAAAAAGAGTCCATATATTTTCCCAAGCGCCCCTGGTCTTCCCAAGAAACATGCTCTTGTTGGTGAGACACTACTTCCTCCCACAATGCTCTCCTCTTTGCTGGCTGGGCTGCAGAGACCTGGGACGGGGGCAAACACACAGAGAGCTCGGGCCCCATTTCCTGCATCCGTCAAATGGTGGCAAAACAGATTCCCTCCCGGGCTCTTGGAAGATAATGGCGATGAGCTATGGAAAGAAAACCTCCTTGGAATTGTAAAGAGCGGCCACGTGCAGCCTTTCTGTGAGCGGGGAGCAACGTCACAGCTTGCAGAGCCCACGGGCTCCGTCCACCAGGCTCACTTGGGCTGGCAGGGGAAGCTGGGCACGGAAGGACCCAGGCGTCTCGCCTGCCGGGCGCCGCTCGGCAGACAGCAGCACCGCGGCCAGCACTGGGGACTCAGCAGAAGGGAAAGGAAGAAGTCAGCACTTAGGTCTCCACTCAGCGAAACGCACGCAGAAAGGCAAGGCCGGCAATTTCCACGCTCCTGGCCCTGCCATCTTCGTGGAAACAGCTTCCTTCCCCCTCACTCCCCGTAAGTGCTCCCTGGGGCCTGGGGGAGGGAGGGAGGGGATGACAGGTGACCTTTCCAAGGCCAAGGCTTAGCTGCAAGTCCTGGGCTCTGGATCAGGTTAATGGTGATGTGGAGTTTGTAGTCTGCCTGGTGTATCTGCAAAGTGCAATTTGGCCGGTTGAGCTGTAGAGGGCAGACGGAGCCACAGCTTGGCAAACACCCCAAGTGCCCAGCAAACCCATGGCTTCTGGGTCAATTTCCACTCACAG